TGCCGCCGCCTCCTCCGCCTGGCTCCTGCTCCTCCGCAGCGCCTACAACTGCACGGGCGTCTGCGTCAACCACAACCGCAGCCCGCTGGTGCGCCGCCCGTCCCTGCACATGGACACGCAGCTCTGGTACAACGCCAGCGACGTCTACGAGGCTTGGAGGCTGCTGCTGAGCGCCGGCGCCGCGCTGGGCTCCAGCCTCACCTACCGCTACGACCTGGTGGATGTCACCCGCCAGGCGGTGCAGCAGCTGGTGGCCGATTATTACCTGAGCATCCGCGGCGCCTTCCAGAGCCGCGCGCTGCCCGAGCTGCTGACGGCCGGCGGGGTGCTGGTGTACGACCTCCTGCCCGAGCTCGACAGCCTCCTCTCCAGCCACCGCCTCTTCCTCCTGGGCCGCTGGCTGGAGAGCGCCCGCGCCGCGGCCACGAGCGACCGGGAGGCTGAGCTGTACGAGATGAACGCCCGCAACCAGCTGACGCTCTGGGGACCGAGCGGGAACATCCTGGATTACGCCAACAAGCAGCTGGGGGGGCTGGTGCTGGATTATTACGGCGTGCGCTGGAGCCTCTTCGTCTCTCTCCTGGTGGAGAGCCTCAACTCGGGCAGCCCCTTCCACCAGGAGCAGTTCAACCAGGCCGTCTTCCAGGTGGAGAGGGGCTTCATCTACAACAAGAAGCGGTACCCCACCGCGCCCGTTGGCGACACGCTGGAGATCTCCAGGAAGCTTTTCCTCAAATACTACCCCGGGGCCATGAAACGGAGCCGGGCTGGGCCAGCGTGATTTGGGGCCGTGCCTCTCAGAGCCTCCCCCAGGAGGGAGGGCAGCGACCCCGCGTCCTCACGCGTCGAGGCTCCTGCAGCTCCCCGCCTGATCGCCGCGTCCCTCCCCAATCGCCGCGTCCCGGCGGTGCTGGAATGAAGGCGCAGAGCCCCGCTGGGACCTGGCTGCGTGCTCTGCATGGGCAGGACGAGCCCCGGAGGGGGCTGGCAGGCGGCTGTGGGGCTGGCTGTGCCCCAGGGACCGCTGCTGCACCGTGGCTGCCCCACGCCTGCCCCACTGGAGCTGAGCCGCCCCACGGCACGGAGCAAGGAGGCAGCGCTCTGCTGCCCCGCTGGCTGCTCGCTGGGACCTGGGACGGTGCAGACGGACAAAGGACAGACGGACAGAGGGGCTGGCACATCCCCCCCCACATCTCCTGCCCCTGGCCGAGCAGCAGGGAGCCAGCCTTGCCCCATGGCTCGTGCCCCCCCCCCCAGCTCCCCTCCTTGTGGGGCCGTCAGGCCTCTGCGCAGCCCCTGCTTGGTGCCTGTGGCACTGAAGGAGCCTTGGCAGAGATTTCTGCGGTGCTGCTGGGGCCGGGCTCCTCAGGGCCGGGCTCTTTCTGTGCCTTTTCCTCCCCTCGCTGGGGCTCTGGCCAAGGCTGCGTGGCCGTGGGTCGCTCTGGCCCCAGGCAGGGTGGGGGCTGAAACCTGCAGAGCTATTAAAGGCTTGGACACTGAGTGCTGTCGGGCTCCTCCGCTTCTCCCCAGCGTGCAATTTATTTGAACTTTGGCAAGGGAGCAGCTCGCAGATGAGAATTTTTTTTTCCCCTAAGGAGGAAAAAAGCACGGTCAGCTGCGGGGCTGCTGCTCGGGGCTGTCCCCGGCTGGTGTGGAGCTCCGGGGCTGCCTTCCCCTCGTGCCCCCCGTGCCTCCTCCCTGGCTCTGCCGCGGGGTCTTTATCTCGGCAGCTGAACCAGCATCAAGGCAGAGGGAGGCAGGTGGAGGGGCCTTGAGATAAGCAGGCAGACAAAACACGGAGGGAAGGAGGGAGGGAGGGGGCCCCTGCCCGGCCCTTTTAAACAGCGCAGCCCCCCCGGGGCCCGGCACTGCCGCGGTGGTGCCCATGGAGCAAACCACGGTGCTGATCACCGGCTGCTCCTCGGGCATCGGGCTGGGGCTGGCCGCCCGCCTGGCAGCCGATTCTGCTCGCAGGTTCAAAGGTAAAGGGGACGATGCTGTGCCACAGGGGGTCCCGGCACCATGGGGGTCCCAGCACCATGGGGATCCCGGCACCAAGGGGGTCCCGGCACCGAGGGGTTCTCCCCCCGCCGGTCCCTGGGGCGGCAGCAGCTGCCCCCCGGCCCCATTTTCTCCCCCAGTATTTCGCCACCATGCGCGACCTGGCCAAGAGCGAGCGGCTGCAGGAGAGGTTTGGGGGCGGCTGCCCCGAAACGCTGGAGCTGCTGCAGTTGGACGTCACCGACCCGTGCTCGCTGGCCACCGCGGCGCAGCGGGTGCAGGGGCAGCGGCTGGATGTGCTGGGTACGGCTCTCACCGCCCCCCCCGGGCATCAGCCGGGACCGGGTGCCAAATAATAGGATGAGCCACGGTGGTCCTGCGTGGGGCCGGGGGGTGCTGCAGCCCTAAGGATGGGGTTGGGGACGTAGGGAGGAGGGAGGGGGTTTGGTGCCCGTGTCCCCGTCCCCGATCCGCTGGCCTGGTGCTGGGGGTGCCCGGCTGACGGGGGCCGTGCCCCGGCAGTGTGCAACGCGGGGGTGGGCCTGATGGGCCCCCTGGAGACGTGCTCCGAGCAGGCCATGAGGACGGTGTTCGAGGTGAATCTCTTCGGGGCCATCCGCACCATCCAGGCCTTCCTGCCCGCCATGAAGCGCCGCAGGGCCGGCAGGATCGTGGTCACCGGCAGCGTCGGGGGGCTGCAAGGTGGGCACTGCATGGGGGGGGGGTGGTGGCTGTGCTGGCTTGGGGGGGGGGTGCCCGGCTCTCAAAGCACCGCTCTGCCCCAAGGGGTGCCCTTCAATTCCGTGTACTGCGCCAGCAAATTCGCCGTGGAGGGGCTGTGCGAGAGCCTGGCCATCGTCCTGCGGCCCTTCAACATCCAGTGAGTGCCGGTGGCAGCGCGGGGAAGGGGCACAGAGCTTGGGGATGGGGGCTGACGGCTCCCCCCCCACCCCATATGGGGCTGCTCCTTCCCGCAGCGTGACGCTGGTGGAGTGCGGGCCGGTCAACACGGGCTTCCTGCAGAACCTGCAGCGAGCAGACCCCGAGGGCAGCGAGCTGCAGGGGCTGGACCACGAAACACGGAGCCTCTACCGCCGGTACCTGCGGCACTGCCACGGCCTCTTCCGAGACGCAGCCCAGGAGGTGGAGGAGGTGCTGCAGGTGGGATGGGGATGGGATGGGGATATGGGATGGGATGGGAATATGGGACGGGGATATGGGATGGGACAGGATGGCATGGGACAGGATGGGATGGGGTGAGGATATGGGGTGGAGATATGGGGTGGGGATATGGGATGGGATGGGATGGGATGGGATGGGATGGGATGGGATGGGATGGGATGGGATGGGGGCTCGGGGCCAGTGCTGAGCCCTGTGCGGTGCCAGGTGTTCCTGGAGGCCATCAGCACCCCCTGCCCACCCCTGCGCTGTGCCACCACCCAGCTCTTCGCCTCCCTGGCGCGCCTGAAGCTGGCCAGCCCTGACGGCTCCGACTACGTGCGGGCCATGCACGACTTCGTCTTCGGCCCCGCTGATGATGGCGGGGACCAGCCCTGAGCACCGGCACCCGCAGAGCACCCGGCAGGGGATGGGACCCTCGGTGCCAGCAATAAACCCCTGCTGCTGCCCCACGGCTCCGGCTCTGGCCCCGCTGTTTATGGGGCAGGACGGCACCGGCAGGGGGGTGGGTGGGGGGTGGGTGGGTGGTGGGCATCGCCTGCATCGCCCATTGCCTGGTGGGACTGGGGAACCAGTGGGGGGGTAGTGGGATGGCTGGAGTGGGGGGCATGGGGGATCGAGGGGGTGATACTGGGGCTGGGCAGGAGATACTGGGACTGGGCAGCCGGTACTGGGACTGGGGCAACCAGTTCGGGGCTGTTTTAGCGACTGGTACCAGGGCTCCAGCAGGCACTAACCGGGGCTCTTTGAGCCACTGGGGTCCGGTGGGCAGTCCTGGGGCTGCGGGACACAGCAGGGGGGTGGGCGGGCAGCCGGGACCGAGCCCCCAGCGGCGGAACGGAGCCCCCAGCGGGCAGCACCGGGGCCGGGCGAGCAGCACCGAGCCTTTAACGGGAGGCACCGAGCCTGCAGCGAGCAGCCCCGGGACCCCCTCCGGTTGCCCGCACCCCTCGCGTCCCCTCCGGTGCCCCGAAGCCCCCCCGGGGCGGCGATGCCGCCCTCGCTCCGCCACCGGGGCGGCGCCGGGGCGGTCCGGTGACGCGTTCCGGGCAGGCTCCGTCTTTCCGGCGGGGCCATGGCGCCGTTCCCGTCGGGGCTGCTGGTGCTGACGGCCCCGCTGGGCTCGGTACCGGGCCGGGCGGCGGCTGCGCTGGCGGCGGCGGCGGGGCTGGTGGCGGGGCCGCTCTACGTGCACCTGCAACCGGGGCTGCTCCTGGGGGGCTCCGCACCGCTCCCCGCCGCCCCTCCGCCGGCTCCGGTTTTGCTCCGGGCTTTGGCCGCCCTCTACTCGGCGGCGGCGGCGCACCGGGGGCTGGACGTGCGCGTCCTGCTGGGTCACGGGCACCGGCTGGCGGAGCCGCCCCGCGTCCTGCTGGCCGACGGGGGGGGCGGCGACGAGGACCCGGTGAGCTTCGGGCTCCGGCAGCTGGCGGCCGCCGCTTACGGTTGCCCCCCCGGGTTGCCCACCCTGCTGCTGGGCGACCCCGACGGTCCCCGGGTTGCCCCCGAGGGCACCGAGGGGGAGCTGCCCGCCTACCCCGACGTGGTGGTGGGGGGCACCTTCGACCGGCTGCACGGTGCCCACCGCCTGCTGCTCAGCGCCTGCTGCCTCCTGGCCCGGAGGAGGCTCCTGGTCGGGGTGGCGGACGGGGAGCTGCTCCGCCGTGAGTGCTGCGGGGGTGGCACCGGGGGTAGGGGAGGCGGGAGAGGGTCGTGGTGGAGGGTTTGGGGTGGGGGTGGTGGCGAGAGGGGCTGCGGAGTTTGCCCTGGGAAGCCTGGAGGGGCTTGGGGGGAGGCTGGTGGGAAGGGGGTTGGGGGGTCTGCACCCCAGTGTCCCTGCACCCCAGTGCCACCACGGGTAGGGGGACAGCGGGAGACCCACCGGGATTTGGGGTGAGACCCACCAGGAGCAGGGCTTTGGAGAAGGCAGACCCCAAAACCCCAGGACCGGTTCCTCTCCCTCTCTCCCTTCCCATTTATCCATCACGTCGTGGCCCCGCGCTCAGCCCCCGCGCCCCCCCCGTGCCCCGCAGACAAGGTGCTGAAGGAGCTGATCGAGCCCTACGAGCTGCGGGCCGCCAAACTGCGCGAGTTCCTGGCGGACGTGCAGCCCGCGGTGCTGTACGACATCGTGCCCCTGGCCGACCCCTACGGCCCCGCCGCCACCGACCCCGAGCTGAGCTGCATCGTGGTCAGCGAGGAGACGCGCAAGGGAGGGGAGGCCGTGAACAAGAAGAGACTCGAGAACGTAATTTTGGGGAGGGGGCTGAGACCTCCCAGCCCCACCACCGGCGGGCTCAGTGGGCTCCTTGTCCCGGCAGGGGCTCGCTGCGCTGGAGCTCTTTGAGATCCAGCTGATCAAAGACCCCGAGCACAGCCGGAACGAGGAGGAGAAGATCAGCTCCTCCAGCCTGCGGCAGAGGCTGCTCGGGACGCTGCTGCGGCCCCCACGGGTGAGGGGGGGACACTCGGAGGGGTTGTGATGGTGTTGGGGGTCCATGGGGGGACTGTGGGACCATAAGAATGGGCTGGACCCCGCTGCTGGCTTTGGGAAATGTCCCTAAAGACGCCCGTGGTGCTGCTGTCCTGAACTCCCAGAGCAGGTCTGGGTGAAATATGGGGCAGAAAGCAGGCAATGGTTGGGGTTTTGGGGTCCCAAATGGGGTCACCGGTTTGGGTGAGTTGTGGGGTGAAAGCTCGAAGCCCTGGTGAAGCCAGGGAGCCGCAGGGATGGCAGCCTGGGGTGCTGGAGCCAGCGTGTCCCCTGCCACTGGGGGGACATTTGGGGGTCTGCCTGCCTTCAGCACATCCCAGCCCCAGGGAGGGACAAGTCCCCGCTCTGCAGGGCCGGGAGCTGCCACGACGCCCGCGGGATCCTCGTGTGCCACCCCCCAGCCTGACGGCAGCCCCCGTCCCCGCAGGAAGCCCCCACTTTGCCGCCTCGCCCCTACGTGATCGGGCTGACCGGAGGCACCGGCAGCGGCAAAACCTCCATCGCCAGGCTCCTGGGGCAGCTCGGAGCCTTCCTCATCGACGCCGACAAGCTGGGCCACGCCGCCTACCTCCCCGGGGGCCCTGCCTACGAGCGGGTGCTGGCGGCGTTTGGGGCAGGTAGGGGTCCCTGGGGACGGCTGGGTGGGCCCAAAGGGGCAAAGTTTTCCCCCAAATCCTCCGTGCCCCGTGTTGGAGCTGCTTTCAAGGGGCTGTTTCGGGGCTCTGGGCTGAGCTGCTGCGTGTCCGACCTTGAAGGAAATCCCGGGTCCGGTCCCGCACTGGGGGGCCTTTTGGGGTCCTGTGCTGAAGTCCTGCTCTGCCCCATGGGCCTCATCTTACCACGGGGACATCAGTGGGGTTCGTCCCATCCCAAACACGTTCCCCTCCTGCCTTACAGAGATCCTGAGCGAAGACGGGACGATTAACAGGAAAGTCCTCGGGGCCAAAGTGTTTGGCAACCAGGTAAAAGCGGCGCGGGGAGTGTCAATATTTAACCTCCCGAGCCCAGAGCTGTCTCCGCGTCTGTGCCGGGGGCTTTTTGCTTCGCAGCCCTTTGAGCTCCTGGCCCTATTCCTGGCAGCAGTGCCGCACGGCGAGGGCAGGACACGGGGATCACTTCCCCGTCACCGCGTCAGTGGCCACGCAGGACGTGCCCCCGGCACCCTTGGCAGCTGCTGCTGCTGCTTCCCCAGCCCTGCTTCCCTCTGTCCTTCACCCAGCGCCGAGCTGAAGCCCCGCCGTGCGCGTCACCCGTGCCCTCTGGCCGTCAGGGGACTTGGACGCGTGGCAAGTGGGGCTCGGTGACCCCGCAGCCGCACGGGACCCCCTGCTCGCTGGTGCCACCGCAGCCCAGGCTCCTCCTGAGGGTCCCTCGGGGGCTGGAGGGTCCCACGGGGATGCTGCGGTGCGAGGGGGGCTCTGCAAAGCGCTCCTCCTGCTGAAATTCTGCTGAGAGAAGGGTGGGAAAGGGAAAAGAGCCGGCAGCCATCGGTAGACAGCAGAGCCTTCACCCAGCGTCTCTCCCGGTGTCCCCTGGTGCCGATTTCTGCCCTCGTTGGCCCCCCAGGAGCTCTGAACCCCGCTGTGCTTCCCTTCCAGGAGCGGCTGAAGAGCCTCACGGACATCGTGTGGCCTGAGATCGCCCGGCTGGTCAGGAAGGAGATCGGGGAAGCCGATGCTCAAGGTAACCGGGGCGCGCAAATGGGGGCGTTCGCTCCTGTGCTGCGCTCCAGGTGCCCCCTCCCCACGGGATTCCGCTGCTCTGGGCAGCACCGCGAGGATTTCCCGTGCTCAGCCCCTGCTTTTTTGGCTGGGGATTTTCACTGCTGCTGGTGTGCTGCCTGCTCCGAAACAGCCCCAATTTGTTTGTGGTGGAACCTCCAGGGAGCAAAACCTTCCCAGCTCCGGGAGGGGCTTGACGGGCGTTTGGCTGCAGGCATCATTTGGGGTGTGCAGGGGGCACCTGAACCCCCTGATACGGGGCATTTGGGCAAACGCAGCCCCCGAAAGCAGCCCGAGGAGCGCTCGTGGTGCCCTGCGTGGCCAGGAACAACGAGCGATGGCCTCGTCCTGCAGGAAAAGCCGTGTGCGTGCTGGACGCGGCCGTGCTGCTGGAGGCCGGCTGGCAGGAGATGGTGCACGAGGTGTGGACGGCCGTGATCCCCGAGGAGGAGGTGGGTGCTGCCCTCCTGCTGAGCCCCGCTCCCCCCTCCCCAAACCCCTGAGTGTCCCCCCCCGTGCTCCCCCCAGGCTGTGAAGCGCATCATGGACAGGGACGGGCTGAGCGAGGGGGCTGCTCGCAGCCGGCTGCGGAGCCAGATGAGCAACAGCCAGCGCGTGGAGCAGTCGCAGGTGGTGCTGTGCACGCTGTGGGAGCCCGAAATCACCCGCAAGCAGGTGAGCTGCCGGCCACCGAGCTGGGGTCTGCATTTGGGGGGGCGAGGGGGGGACCCCAGACTGGGATGGGGAGGGAGGGCTGCGTGCTGGGGCTCACAGCCAGGCTGATGTGGTGTGGGATGAGGGATGAGTTCACACAATCCCAGAATTGTTGGGGTTGGAGGGGACCTCCAGGATCCCCCAGTCCAAATTTTTAACCTAACATCCTTTAAAGCCCTGCATGGCTGGGGGCTGCAGCACCTCCCCGGGCAGCCCATCCCAATCCCAATCCTCTCAGCCCTTTTGGTAAAATTCTTCCTCACGTTCAGGGTTGGGAATGGAGCAGGGAAGGGGCAGAAGGTTTGGGAGCCCTTCTTTTGGGGTTCCTCCCCCTCTGACGGCCGTTCCCTGGCAGGTGGAGAAGGCCTGGGCCCTCCTGCAGCAGCGCCTGAGCCACGCACCCGGATCGCCGTCCCGCTAACGGCCCCGTGGGACACCGAGCATCGAGCCGGGACGTGGGGCGAGGGCACCGACCGTGAAACGGGTGCGGAGGGGCTGGGGCTGAACCCCCCCCCGCTGCGTCCCCACCCCGCAGAGGGGCTGGGAGCCCCCTGCCCTGCTGCTGCCGCCGCCGGACGCCGTGACCCCAGGAGTGGGAATGAGCTGGAATCGCTGCGGCAGTGCCTTGGGTCAAAGGGCTGAGCCCCCCCCCGCTGGTGCCTGCACGTCCCGAGAGCGGGGGGCACCGCCTGAAGCCCCCCCCCAAACCCCCAGGGCTTGGGGACAGGCCCTGGGCACTGTGAGCCCGTCCCGCTGTGCCAGTTAAAGAGCAGTTTTCCTCGGCAGTGTCTCTGGGGTGTTTTTGTCCCCTTTTTCAGCCGTTCCCCCCCGGGGGCTGCCCCCACCACCGCCGCCGCCACCCCGGGGGCTTCTTCCCCGCTCGGAGGGGGCAGCAGCCCACCGGGGCGTCCCCCGGTGCCACCGGCAGTGTCCCCCCGGTGCCACCAGCCCACGGCCGGGGCTGCTCGGGGGCTCTGCCCTGCTCCCGGTGCTGGTCCCGGTGCCCTCATCCTTGGGTTCCCCCCTCTGCGTTCTCGTTACACCGGGGGTGGCTCCACCGGGAGCTGGTTTGGGAACCCCGGGCGGGTCCCGGTGCTGGTCCCAGTGCCAGTCCCTGGAACTGGTCCTGGTCCCGGTACTGGTCCCGGTGCCGGTCCCGGTGCCGGTCCTGGACCCGGTCCGAGTGCGGGGGGGGTGGGCGGGGCGCCCGGTCCCGCCCCCGGCGCTCCCCCGTGATATCAGCGGGCACCCGGGGCCGTCCCGCCCCGGTACCGGCACGGGGCACGGGGCCACGCAGAGCAGAGCCGAGCCATGGCCGGGTGCGGGCGGACGCTGCTCGGGGCTGCTGCCCGGTGAGACACCGGCACCGGGACCCCAGGACACCGGGACCCCGGGACACCGGGACCGGGGTCGGTGCAGAGCACCGAGGGGCAGCAGCTCCGGTTTTCTGACCCCCTTTTTATCCTCTCCAGGTGCCCCGGTGCCCTCTGCTCCCCGTGCCCGCAGCCGGTGCAGCCCACGCGGCCGTTCCTCAGCCTGGTGGGCTCCGGTGCCACCGGGTACCGGGAGCACCGCGTCCTGGGGTGAGTTCGGTATCAGAGGGGGGGGGGAACCCGGTTACCGGGTGGGTGCGAGGTGCTGGTGCTGAGCTGTATTTTTGCCTCCCCTCCCCAGGTATTCGGCACAGCAGATGTACGAGCTGGTGGCCAACGTCGGGGACTACCGGCTCTTCGTGCCGTGGTGCCGCCGCTCGGCCGTGCTGTCCCGCCGCGGCCATGTGCTGCGGGCCGAGCTCGAGGTCGGCTTCCCCCCCCTCCACGAGCGGTACCTCTCCGAGGTGTCCTTGGGGCCCCGGCAGATCCGGGTAAGCCGTGGTGTTCCCCCCCTCTTGGGTTTGGGGTTTGTGTCCGAGTGCTGGGGCTCAGCAGGATCCATGTCGGGGGGAAAAGCTGGGGGCAGGGGGCACCGGGGGCGAGGGGCTGCGATGCACCCTGGATCCGGAGACCCCAAACTGCTCCTGTGCAAGGAAAGCCGCCCCCAGCAACGCTCCCCCTGCCCTAAAACCGCTCCAGCAGCCCCGTGTCCTGTCCCCTGCTTGGCACTTGGGGATGGGGCCGGGGCCGTTCCTGCCGCTCTGCCTGGTGCTGGGTGCGCGGTGCCTGGGCCCCCAGCAGCTTTTTTTGCCCTCCCGCAGGCGGTGAGCAGCGACTGCCGGCTCTTCAGGCACCTGGAGACGCTGTGGAGCTTCGGGCCGGGGCTGCCGGGACGGACGGACAGCTGCTCGCTGGATTTCTCGGTGAGTTTACAGCACCGGGGACCGGGCCAGGCTTTGGGGGCAGGGGGCTGCCGGCCCCGCTGCGTCCCCCCTGAGCCTTCCCCAGCACCTCCCCGCCTCCTGCCAGGTCTCCTTCGAGTTCCGCTCGGCGCTGCACTCCCGCCTGGCCGCGCTCTTCCTGGACGAGGTGGCCAAGCAGATGGTGGCCGCCTTCGAGGGCCGGGCGCGGGAGCTCTTCGGGCCGCAGGCTGCACAGCGAGCAGCGCGCCGGGCCTGAGCTCGGCCTCCCCCTGCCCCCAGCCCTGTTGAGGCCTCCCCCTATTTATGGCTATTTAACCCCCCCGGAGATAATTTATTGTTTTTTTTTGTAAGCCCCGCTCCTGTTGAACGCTGTCGACACCAGGACCAAGCGGCCTCGGGCCGTGCGGCCGCTCTGTTTGTGGTGCTTGGGCAATAAAATTTGGGGCACGGACTGGCTCGGGATCGTTATTTCTCCTCGTGTGGCCCCCATCCCTGTGCTGCCCCTTGTCCCCTTGCTGTCCCCATCCCGTCCCTGTCCCCTTGCTGTCCCCGTCCCGTTCCTGTCCCCGTCCCGCCCCCGCCGCCCCCCCCTCCCGGCCGTTCCCGGGGTCAGGGCCGAGGGAAGGCCGCGGCCCACGGCCTCTGCCCCGGGCCCGGCGCCCCCTGCGTCACAGTGACGTCAGCGCCGTTACGCAAACACCGGGCACCGACCCGGCCCCGCCCCCTTCCCTCAGGCCCCGCCCCCTTCCCTCAGGCCCCGCCCCCTTCCCCCGGTCCCGTCCGGGCGCCCCCTGGCGGCGCCTCGGGCCCGCATTTCCCATCAGCCCCCGCGGGCGGGCACGTGACCGGGGCGGGCGGAAGATGGCGGAGCCGCCCGGGGCCGCGGCCGAGGACTCGTGGGGCAAGGTGAGAGCGGGGATGGGGGGGGCACCGGGAACCGGGCACCGGGCACGGGCCTCACGGGGAGGGGCTGCGGGGGGGTGAAGGTCGAGGTGAGGGGCGGAGGGCAAAGGTCCAGGGGGCCCGGTTGGGTCCGGTTAAGCCCGGTAAGGCCCGGTTTGGCCCGGTTGGGCCTGGTCGAGGGGGCCCGGTTGGGTCCTGGTTGGGCCCGGTTGGGTCCCGGTTAAGTCCTGGCTGACCCCAATTGGGTCCCTTTTGGGCCCGGTTCATCCCGGTTGGGTCCCGGTTGGGCCCGGTTCAGCTCGGTTGGTCCCCGTTAAGCCCTTTTCGTCCCGGTTGGGTCTCATTTGGGCCCGGTTGGGGTCCGGTTGGGTCCCTGTTAGGTCCCGGTTGGGTCCCGGTTGAGCCCTGTTCGGCTCTGTTGGGTCCCCGTTGAGCCCGGTTGGGTCCCGGTTCGGCCCGGTTGGGCCCGGTCGGGTCCCGTTGTGCCCGGTTGCGCTGACCTCCGCCTTCTCCCCGCCGCCCCAAGGTGGACACCGCCTACGGTGACAACGGCCTGGACTCGGGTAGGTGCCGCCGGGGCTCGGGGCTGCAGCCAGACCCAGCCCGGGGCTCCCCGGGACTCGGGGGGGCGGTGGCAGGGAGGGGGGGGGGGGGCCCGAGGCCGCCCCTCGCCCCTCACCGGCCGCCCACCTGCCCGCAGCGCTGCTCGGGGACTGCGCCCGCAAGGGGAGCGTCGTGTCCCGTGCCAACAGCATCGGCTCCACCAGCGCCTCGTCCGTCCCCAACACGGGTGGGTTTTGGGGGCAGGCCCCCGGTCATTGCCTCTTCTGAGCCCTACAGTTGGGTTTTGGGGTCCATCTCCTGGTCATTGTCTCCTCCATCCCCATTATGGGTGGGTTTTGGGGTCTGTCTCCCAGTTATTCCCTTCTCCGTCCCCATCACAGGTGGGTTTTGGGGTCTATCCCTGTCCCCAAACTGTTGTGGGGGCCATGGCAGAGCTGCGGGAGGAAGGGGCCCAGCTTGAGCCCCCCCCCATCCCGTGCTCACATTTTTTTGTCGCCCCGCAGACGATGAGGACAGCGACTACCACCAGGAGCCCTACAAGGAGTCCTACAAGGACCAGCGCAGGCGGGCGCACACGCAGGCAGAGCAGAAGAGGCGAGATGCCATCAAGGTAACCCTGAGGCCGTGGGAGCGCGGTGGCTCACCCCTTCCCGGGGCCCTGTGGCACCCAGGACCCTGCTTTTTGTGCCCCTTTCCCTTTTTTTTTTGATGCTGGATTTACTCTCCTAACCCTACGTGTGTCAGGAGCCACCTTGGCTCTGTCTGGCTGCGTGGTGGGAGCTGGGGTTTGGCCCCGTGTGAAGCCACGGCAGAACTGGACACCCCAAACCCTGCGTGTGAGCCCTGGGTGGGGTGGTGGGGTGGGGTGTGTGACCCCACACCCCAAACACGGGGCTCTGCTTCCCCCGCAGAAAGGCTACGACGACTTGCAGGCCATCGTCCCCACCTGCCAGCAGCAGGACTTCTCCATCGGCTCCCAGAAGCTGAGCAAGGCCATCGTCCTCCAGAAAAGTGAGTCCTGAGCAGGGGGGGAGAGTAAAAAGGTGCACCTAAACCCCAAAACACCCTGCAACAGCTTGGGGGGGAACCTTGTGGTCAGGGGAGGCCGGGTGCTGACCCACGGGAGAGTTGGGGCCACCAGGAGCTGCTGCCCTGGGGGTCTCAGGGGGGCCGTGCGTGCTCCCAACACCTCACGCTGTATTTTCTTGCTCAGCCATCGACTACATCCAGTTCCTGCACAAGGAAAAGAAGAAGCAAGAAGAGGAAGTTTCTATTCTCAGGAAAGAGGTGATGGCCCTGAAGATCATGAAAGTGTAAGCAAAAAGCCACGTGCTCGCTGCCCTCCTTCCTGCTGCTTTTCTCCCCTGTCCTTGTGAGGCTCCTGTGGGGTGCTCCCAGCGCTCCCCAGGCAGCCCAGCACCCGGGGTACCAATCCTGCACCTCCCCGCTGGCATCCCTCCTCGTTAGGGGCTCGTTAGCTCGGCTCTGGCTCAGGCCAGCTGGTGGAGTTGAGCGTGAGGTGGATCTGAGTCTGAAAACGGATCTGCTCCCGGTGGCTGCAGCTGCCCGGAGTTTATTCACCCGCGGGCTCCTGGCTGGTTGCAGGAACTACGAGCAGATCGTGAAAGCTCACCAGGACAACCCGAACGAGGGGAAGGACCAGATCTCCGACCAGATGAAGTTCAACGTTTTCCAGGGCGTCATGGATTCCCTCTTCCAGTCCTTCAACGCCTCCATCTCAGTCACCAGCTTCCAGGAGCTCTCGGCCTGCGTCTTCAGCTGGATCGAGGAGCACTGCAAGCCCCAGGTGAGCACGGGCACCAGGCGATCCAGGAGGGGCTTCTCCAGTCCTAACGGTTCCATGATTGTAAGATCCCACCTCCAGCTGCCGGGCTGGCTTGGGGCTGGAAGCTGGCCCCTTAAAACAGTTCAGGAGAGGTCCTGCTCCTTCCCAGTCCTTAAGACACCCAAAAGTTTGCTGGGAGTTAAGAAGCCGTTGAGGGGGGTGAGGCACGCAGGCAGAGCAGGTCCTTGTCGTGCCGAGGCCCTGCAGCCCAGGACCACGGAGGGGTGATCGCTTCCATGCACCGCGTGTGCCCCCCAACGGGGATTTTAGCAGGAGCAGCTCACCAGGGAAGGGCTGCTCCTCCCCTGCAACAAGTGACCCGCTCTCCTCTCTGCCCCAGACGCTCCGGGACATCGTCATCGGGGTCCTGCACCAACTGAAGAGCCAGCTGTACTGAGCCTTCCCTCACCAGCAGCTCCGGGGCTGCCGCCTCCTCGGCCCCTGCCGGAGCTGGGCGCCACTGGGAGAGGCCGGGCCATGCCCCTCGGGGCTGTTCCTGAAACTTCTCCGTTTATTTATTGTGACTGCAAAACCGAAACCAGGCTGTGCGCGCATCTCTGCTCCACAGGTACTGGCACAGCTGACGTTACCAAGTACTTCTAGGGACTTAGCAAAGGGAAAAGGGAAAAAAAAGTGTTTTGAATGTGTCTTGGCAGCCAGCAGAGAGTCCTTAGCTCAGGCAGGCGCGTGGTGGTTGGGTTTGCCTGTGCCACTGACTCTCCACAGCCACAGCCGGGCTGGCAGGACAGCTCTGCTCTGGGCTAAAAACCCTTCTGCCCCTGGGAAATGAAAAAAGCATGCTAAAAGCTGTTGTAACACAGATTAGGAGGGTTCCACAGCTGTAGGCTCTCCCTCCCTCCCTCTGAAGCAGCTCCTAGGAGGACAAGAGGCTGTCCTGGGCTTGCGGAGATGCTTTGGGGAGCTGCAGGAAGGATCAGCCCCTCACTGCCAGGGCCGTGCTCGCAGGGAGCACACCGGGGCCTCGCTGTCCTGACCTCTCTTTGCAGCCATAAAAGCCCAGAAGGGAGCAGACTTTCTTTGCAGTCTTTTCCTGCTTGTGCTCGTTGAGATGTGCCTGGCTTCATCGCGCTTCGGGTCGTGACGTGGCCGTGCTGACCAGGGAAGTAGTGCAGTAGCCGCAGCCCCGCGCTGCCGGGAGCTCTCACTGCTCCTCCTTAGAACCATAGGATTTTTTTTATATGTATATACGCATAACCAGCCTTGATTTTATTTTATAAATCACTGAAATCATTGTGAAGCCCTCTCGGTGTCAGCTTTGCAGACAGATCCTTGCTGGGACAGTGACCGTGACCCCCACAGATGGGGTGGAGCAGTGCAGGAGCCGTTTGCTGCTCTGGGGGTTTTTGGACCCCCTCCACAGCAGCGATGCCTGCAGCAGGGTCTGGTCTCACTCATCACCTTCTTGCTACCCCTCCAGCAGCTATTTTAGGGCGGTTTTCCCTCTTTAATGCTGTTTCCCAGCTCCACGTTGTTTTTCGGGATGCTGCAGCTTGAGCTTGGTTAAGCTGCTCCTACCTGATGCGAGAGGAACTCTTTTGGGGATTAATTTTTATGCGAGATTCTTCCCCAGCCCCCTTTTTTTGGGTGTTCTTTTCAATTCAAAGCAGTGGAAGCCCCCGAGGAGCTGAGCCTGGGGGTGATGCCTGGAGTTGGTAACGTGGGGCAGCCGTGTCCCTGGAGGGGTTGCTTGGTGAGGAAGGAAAACGCTGCTGGGGGCTGAGAGCCTCTGCCAGAAGCAGCCCCCCCACCTCGTGAGGAGGACGGGGGCTTTTACAGACCTGCCGTTATTTTTCTATGACGAGAAGTAATGAAATAAATTGTGCTGAATGTTTTAATGACATCTCTGCTTTGAGTTCTTGTGGCTGGGCTCCCAGAGCCTTTCCCTGGAGCAGGTAAGAGCTGGACACACAATTTCTGGAAGCCCAGCCCTTCACAGCAGCTGTGGCTCAGCTTTCCAGCTGTGCTTTTTACCCTCCTGGCTCTCGCCTTCTACCCCCCAGGCAGGGGAGTTGCACCCAAGGGTGGCCCTGCAGCACTCTGAACACAGAAGACACCACACCAAAGCACATCTGGAACAAAAGCAGGGTGTTTAATGAATCCTAGTCTGTGTACAGCTCCGTGCACCCCCTGAGAAGCCACCCCCTGCCTTTCAGTTTGCTGAACTCGTGCTGGGGCTCTGCAGCCCCCACCAAACCCTGTTCATTCACCTGTACCAGGCACTCGCTTCCTCTTCTTGCTACACCACCAGAGCCTCCAAACCAGGGCAGTTACAGCTTCCTGGCCACAGCCCGGTGAAGACACCTGCCCTCAACAGGACACTGGGCTGAAGGTAAGGAAAGAAATGGCATTCCCTCGGCAAGGGAGAAAGGGAAAGGGCTCAGTGCTGAGTTAATTGTTCCAACCACCCTTCCAGGGGCAAAGCACTTAAAACAAACACATACAAAAGATGCGGGACAAGCCCAAAAAAAAAAAAACAGCCCAAAACCAGCAGCTGAGTTTCAGCAGCACGTTCTGTTCCCTGAAGGCCTCCCTCAGCACCTCACACGGCTGCGGGCAGGGTGACGTTGTGGTCCTCGTCCGTTTCGATGCCAACCTCCTCCTGTGTGAGGACAAACGGGGCTCGGGGCAGGATGGGAGCTGCTGGCACAGCCCTCCCGGGGCAGAGCCAGGCACTGGGACTTACAAAGAACTGCTTCTTGCTTTTGGGGTACCCCTCCAGGATGGCGTCGAGCAGCTCGGTCGCCTGGCAGGACAGAGAGAGCCCTGGGGTCAGGCTCAGGGCTGACTCCCAGCCTCTGCTGCAGCTGCCAGGCACTGGCCCACAGCGGGTGTCAGAGCCAGCACAGCTCAGGAAAAGGTGGAAACTGCTCTTTGTGATGCAAGGAGCATTCCTTTTGTTTCCACAAGAACAAACAATATTTGAAGATGTTTCTTAATCAGGTATTTCAGTGACATGGCCTTTCCCAGAGGCTCTTGGTACACGTTAGTCCTTACCACGCCCAGGTGGCACTCGGCAGTGAGCACAGAGCGCCTTTAATAGTCACAGTGTTTGCCTGAAGTCCCCCCAATCTGTGTCACAGCTCACAGAACACTTGCCAAGCAATTCTGCCGACTGTGCCTGTCCCATACAGGCACCAGCGTCACCGTGGGACTGTCACTGCCACTGCTCCCCCCCAACCACCCCTTGTTCACGGCAGAGCCTTACCATCCGCTTCCTCTTCCTCCACTCCTTGCAGTACAGCCTCTGCTCACTGCACACCTGCCAAGAGCAAGGCAAAGTGAGAACAACCCAGCCAGGAGCCAACCTGCAGAGCCTCTGTAAGCCCAAAGCTGGGAAAGGTCTGGTTCCAAGGACATCGTACATCTGCGCTATGGCCAGAGGGGTTTCAGGCAGCAGGAGCAACTCACAGCCCTTACAGGGACATGAACTGTGCCTTGTGATGGCTCAGGAGAGGGACAGGTTGAATTGATAAAGTGCCCAGCCCCTCTTCACCTTCTCTTTTTCCTCCGGCGTGACGTGGTTGGTGGCAGACTTGATCCTCTCCAGCTTGTCCGCGTAACCGGCGCAGTCCTTCCTCAGCTCCTCCACCTCCCGGGCCATCTCGGGCGTCGTCATGGAGCCGCTCAGCTCCCTCAGCTCTGCAAGGCAACGCCGATCACCGGCAGGACCAGCAGCCGGCTCCCAGCTGTCCGACCCTGCAGCCCACGGCCGGCACCGGGGCCGTACCGGGAGCCCTCACCCGCTTCCATCTGCCGGCAGCCCTGCTGCAGAGCCTGCAGCTGAGCCGACAGCGCCGTGATCTCCCCGTCCAGCCCTCGCAGCTCCGCATCGCTGGCGGCCGGGAGCTGCTCCTGGAAGGGGGGGGAGGAAGCAGCAGGAGCTCAGCGGGACCTGGGGGGGGGGGGCTGGGGCAGGGCTGGGGCCGGCCCGGAGCTCACCTGGTCGGCGAAATAAACCTTCTGCTTGCCGTACACCTTCTCGCGGATGCGGCCCTGCTGGGCCAGCTGCTCCAGCGCCTTCACCACGGCCTGAGGGAGGCGGGCGGTCAGCAAGGCCCCACTCCCCGCCCCGTTAGGCCCAGCCAGGCCCAGCCAGGCCCGGCCCGGCCCGCTCACCGCCTTGCCCAGCCCGTGCTCCCGCTGCAGGTTCCCGAAAACGTCCTGGGCGCTGTAGGGGCGGTTCTGCTCCCGCAGGTACCGCAGCAGGACGGCGGCGGCTCCTGAGGGACAGCGGCGCGGTCACCGCGGGCGGCCCCAGCCCTGCTGGGAGCCCCCCGGCCCCGCCGGCCCTCACCGCCCGCCGCGGGGCCCTCCCGCCCCTTGCTCATCCTCCTCCTCCGCCGCCCGCCGACCAAATGACGCGCTTCCGGCGCGGCGAGCGAACCACCCCCGACGATTGCAGCCAATCGGAGCGGGACGGAGGAAGAGGGGAGGGCGGTGATTGGATGATGGGCGCGAAGCCACGCCCAGAAATGGGAGGGGCGGGGGTGCGCGGGTAGTTTGAGAGCCGGTTCCGGATCACGTGGTGTGTGTGTATGGGGGGGGCGTTGAGGCTCCCGAGGGAGCTCAGGTCTACCCAAAGGCTTCCATTGGGAGCAGATGGGGGAAAGTGTCCAGGGCCCTGGTTAGGGTTAGGGTCATCAGGATTCGTGTTCGGGTCATTAGGGTTCGTGTTCGGGTTAGCTCCACCACTAGGGTTAGGGTTTGGGATAGGATTAGCTCTGCCATTCGGTTAGGGTTCAGGTTAGGGTTCAGGTTAGGGTTAGAGTTAGGGTTAGTGTTGTTAGGGTCAGGGTCATTACGTTTAGGGTCGTTAAGGTTAGGGTTAAGGTTAGGGTTAGGGTCATTAGGCTTGGAGTTGGGGTCATTAGGGTTAGGGTTTGAGTTAGGGTTAGAGTTAGGGTTAAGGTTAGGGTTAGGTTCAGGGTTAAGGTCATTAGGGTTAGGGTTAAGGTTAGGGTTTGGGTTAGAGTTAGAATTAGGGTTAAGGCTAGAGTTAGTGTCAGTAGGGTTAGGGTCATTAAGGTAATGGTTAGGGTTCGCTTTAGGGTTTGGGTCGCAGGGTAGGGTCATGAGGTTTAGGGTTTGGGTTAGGGTTAGGGTTTGGGTCACTACAGTTACGATGAGGGTCAGGTTTAGGGTTAGCGTTCCGGTTAGGGTTGTTTGGAAAGGGAGGAGGCGCAGAGTCCTGCGTCCTGTGGGGTTGTGTAAAGGCCCCCGAGGGCCGTCCCGGTGTCCCCAAGGCTCCCATTGGGATCTCCCCGCTCTGGCCCCAGCGCCGCCCCCGCTGCTCCCCGTGGTCCCCCCTCAGCGGCGCGGCGGAAGTGACGTCATCAAACGGCGCCACGGCCCGCGGCCTAGCGATGGCGGCAGAGACCGGGGCCGGGAGCACCGGGGGGGGGGAGGCGGAATCCGCGGGTCCCGGACCCCAGCCCCGGTACCGGCCCCGGCAGCCGCCCCCCGACCTGCCCCGGGAGCCGCGGTCGGGTGGGATCCGGCCGGTACCGGGGGCCTGGAGCGGGGCTGGGGGGGCCCGGCCGTTAACGGGTGTTGGGTGAGGTGGGCCCGGCACCGGGTGCATGGGCCTGTGGGGTGGGGGCGGGCACAGCTCGGCCTCCGCACCTCCAGCTCGTTATCCCCGCTTATAATTCATTATTCCTTTGCTTCATTACCTTAATTACACGCCCCGGCGCTCCCTGCCTGTGGCGCGTTACCTCTGGGGTGAATTATTTTACCCCGCAGCCTTTGATGTCTGCCCGGTGCTAAATAAAACGTTTGTGCTCGTCCTCACAGGGCCCGGCCCGGCTGGAAGGCGGCGGCGAGGCTCCGGGTGTCAGCGTTTCCCTGCCCTGCAGCCTCTGGACAGGCAGCGGGAAGGCAGCAGGCCGCAGGCAGCACCGGAGCTGCTCCCTGCAGGGTTTGGGTGAGGCCCTGAGCACACAGGGGCACGGCCGAGCGCCTTCGGAGGCTTCCTGAGGTGGGTGCTTCCAGGTATTCTGTTTTCCTACTCCATCACGAGGTGCTGTAAGGGAAAGCAAAGTGGGAAGTGGTTGGCGTGTCCCCCAGGGGCCTGTGAGCAGGTGTGGTGCGAGGCCTGGGGCTGGTGAGGCTGGGAGGAGGTCAAAGAGAGGGAATTCCTGCGGGAGCCATGCCGCAGGTGCTGTGAGCACAAGGCCTGGAATGCAGCAGGTGCTGCCCAGGTGGGGGTATAGCTCAGGGGTAGAGCATTTGACTGCAGATCAAGAGGTCCCCGGTTCAAATCCGGGTGCCCCCTCCCCTTTTCCTCCTCTTTTTGCCCCCAAAAGGTCCATTTGGGGCTTCTCAGTTGACTGCTCTCCCCTGAACTCTCTGCAGGGAACATTCTCTGGCAGATGTGGTGGTAGCCAGGCAGCAAGAAGAAGATTGACAGGAGAAGAGGACTGGCACCGTGGAGGTTGTGAGCAGAGAGGTATTTCCTTCAGTGTTTTTTGTGCTGGGAGTAATTTGTTGTGTGCTGGAATTGTTTGGAATGAGCGGAAAACTTCCAGCTGTGGAGGAGGCTGCCACAGGGGGTATAGCTCAGTGGTAGAGCATTTGACTGCAGATCAAGAGGTCCCTGGTTCAACTCCAGGTGCCCCCTTTAAATGGCTTTTTCAGCCAGCTTTTGGCCCAGGAAAGCTCAGGGCTTCTGCTCTGAGTAGCTCTGCACTGTTTTTGTCTAAGTTTGCGATTTTCTGTAGTAACTCTTTGCAGCAATTATGTTCATTGCCCTGTCCAGGCTGCTGCCAAGTTAATGAATCTTAACCCGTGGTCAGACACTAGGCATGTATAAATGTTTTTAAAACCACCTGGTGCAGGTGTCACTCCAGGGGGTATAGCTCAGTGGTAGAGCATTTGACTGCAGATCAAGAGGTCCCTGGTTCAACTCCAGGTGCCCCCTCTTTTTATTGTGCTTTTTTCAGGAAAAAGGACGAGGTGTTTGCCTTATTTTTAGATCCTGTGAGCTACTGTTTGGCCAAAGGGCTGGTTTCTGAACCAAACCCAGGACAGAGCATTAATCTAGAAACTCAGCCAAATCTGTATGTGTGTCAGTGACTAAGCAAAGGCACGATGCTGCCTTCTGGGCTGTAGGAGTCGTTTTGATCAGCCAAGAGACTGCAGTGGTTCTACGCTTTGTCTCCTGTATTGATTCTCTGAATATACTTTGTCATGTGCATTTCAATGCTAAGGAGTCTGTCAAATAAAAAAAAACAACTGAGCTCTCTGTGATTTTTGTTTTTGTTGTTGTTGTTGTTTTTTTTTCCTGCACCTTTCTGGTTGCTCACCCAAGGGGGTATAGCTCAGTGGCAGAGCATTTGACTGCAGATCAAGAGGTCCCTGGTTCAACTCCAGGTGCCCCCTCTCTTTATTGTCTTTTTCAACCTGCCTTTTGCTTAGGAGAGTTCAGGCCTTCTGCTCCGAGTAGTTGTGTGCTGTCTGTGTGTTTTTGTGTGAGGTGTAATTCTCTCTAGTATCTCTTTGCAGAAATTATGTCCATTACTCCGTCCAGGCTGCTGCCAAGTTGATGAATCTTAACCCGTGGTCAGACACTGGGTGTGTGTAAGTGCTTTTAAAACCACCTGGTGCAGGTGTCACTCCAGGGGGTATAGCTCAGTGGTAGAGCATTTGACTGCAGATCAAGAGGTCCCTGGTTCAACTCCAGGTGCCCCCTCTTTTTCTTGTATTTTCTTGTCCTTTTCAGCCAGCCTTTTGCCAGAATTCATCACAGGAAGAAGATGGACACACCACCTTAGGTCTCAGGAGCTTGTCCTACATGTTGGAGTCTTTGTGCTGCAATATTCAAGGCACTCAGTGCCTGCCTGCTAGGAACCTACCGGGCTTCTGCCCTGCGTGAGTAGCTCTGTGCTTCTGTGTGTGTTTGGTCTTGATTTTGTGCAGCGACTCCCTGCTGCCATCCATTATGGTAGGTTCATTACCATGCCCGGGGGGCTGTTGGTTAAAGGCTTCTATCCACTGGACATGGACACTGGGCTCCGCGTGCAGTGCTGTAAAATTCCTCTGTGCAGGTGTTACTCCAGGGGGTATAGCTCAGTGGTAGAGCATTTGACTGCAGATCAAGAGGTCCCTGGTTCAACTCCAGGTGCCCCCTCTTTTTCTTGTCTTTCTCAGCCAGCCTTTAGCCCAGGAAAGCTCAGGGCTTCTGCTCTGAGTTGCCCTGCGCTGTTTTTGTCTAAATTTGCAATTTTCTTTAGTAACTCGTTGCAGAAGTTATGTCCACTGCCCTGTCCAGGCTGCTGCCAAGTTAATGAATCTTAACCCGTGGTCAGACACTGGGTGTGTATAACTGCTTTTAAAACCACCTGGTGCAGGTGTCACTCCAGGGGGTATAGCTCAGTGGCAGAGCATTTGACTGCAGATCAAGAGGTCCCTGGTTCAACTCCAGGTGCCCCCTCTTTACCTCCTTTTCCATCCTTTCTTCTTTACAGACAGAATAGGGAGAAACCTTCTTATTCCCCAGAGGTTTTTGGGGTCACTTCACGTTCTTTTGCCAACCTGTCATGGTTTCAGCTGGGAGAGAACTAATTTTATTAGTTAAGGCTTGTATGATGCTGTGGTTTGGATTTTTGATGAAAACAGTGGTGATAATACACTGGTGTTTGAGTTGCTGCAAAGCAGTGCTCACCCAGAACCGAGGACTCTTCTTCTCCTGCTGCCCTGCTGGGAGAAGGCTGGGAATGCACAAGCCAGGAGGGGAGCAGAGATCAAGACGGCTGCCCCACACTGGCCAAGGAAATGCTCCGTACCATCTGCTGCTGTGCAATAAAAGCTGGGGTAAAGGAGGGGGGTGGCAACATCGGGAGCTTCTTGGGCAGCCAAACTGCCGTTGTGTTTGATGAGCTGTGGAAGTGATGAGCCACTGGAAGCGGCTGAACGCCTGCCAGCTGATGGGAAAGGCTGGATTCATTCCTCGTTTTGCTTTGTTTGTGGGCACAGCTTGTGCTGTACCTAGTAAACCATTATATTTATGACAACCCCTGACTTCTCGCATCGTTCCCTGTCGGGTTCCCTCCCCATCCCACCGGGGCAGAGCGAGCTGGAAGCAGCCGGGCGGTTCCCAGCCCCCTGCCAGCTTTACACCACAACACCCGCTCACACCTTCCTATTCCTCCTGGCTTTTTACTTTACACACAAGCGCCAGAGGCGATGCAGACGGAGCAGGAACCGAGATAAACACCGAGCACCACGGCTTGGGGAAGCCGGGATTAACGCGGCCGGGCGCTGGCTCCCGCCCCTGGGGGGACTCGAACCCTGGCACCTCCGGCCCCGCGGGCAGCCGCGCTCCCCCCTGCGCCACGCCCCAGCCGCCGCAGCCGCGCGTGGCTCCGGGGCAGGGCGCGGGGCTGGGAGCCCGCAGGACCCGGGTTCGAATCCCGCTGCGGGCGGAACCGGCCCCCGGGGGGGGGTTCCTAAGGCCGGGCCCTGCTCTGCTCTTCCGTTTCCTTCCGCCATCAGCGGCGCGGCGGAAGTGACGTCGTCAACCGGCGCCACGCCCCCGGTGACGAGAGGCGGCCGGAGCCCGGCGGGGAGGGGAGCGCGGAGAGAGCGGCGCCATGGGGGGCGGCGACCTGGTGAGGGGGGGGTCCGGCCGGGGCGGGGGAGGCCTCGGGTACCGGTACCGGGCCTTGAGGGATCCCGACAGGGCCTCGGGGGGGTTGGGAAGGGCCCTCGGGGTGCGGGCTCCGGGCCCGTGGGCTCCTGGAGCAGGCCCCGGGCCTCCGGTACCGGCCCCGGGCCTCGGGGTGTGGGCCTCGGGCCCCGAGGGATCGGGACAGGGCCTCGGGGTGCGGGTTTAGGGCCCGGTCCCGCTCGGAGGGGGGTCCCGAGGCCGTTCCCCGGCCCTTTATTGGGGTGCTGAGTCAAGGCCCTGCTGTGGTTGTCGCCCCCGCAGAACCTGAAGAAGAGCTGGCACCCGCAGACCCTGCGCAATGTGGAGAAGGTGTGGAAGGCCGAGCAGAAGCATGAGGCCGAGCGGAAAAAGATCGAGGAGCTGCAGCGGGAGCTGCAGGAGGAGCGGGCCCGCGAGGAGATGCAGCGCTACGCCGAGGACATGGGCACCGTCAGGTGAGGAGCGGCCGCAGAGCCCACACCACGGCACCCACAGCCTGCTGGGGACCGGTGCTGCCTGGTGGGGTGCTCCATGCCCTGCTGGTGCCTCCGAGGGACGTATTTTCTGCACTGTTTTTAACGTGTGCGATGTAGAAAGTTTTCTGTTCACCTTCGTAAGCCAGCGCTTTAAGTTTTACCTTTTAGTTTTACCTTTAGAAGGGAAAAGTTTTGCTGTTAAAGCTCTGTAATAGAGAATAAGACGCTCTTGTTTGCAACAGGAAAAGAGAAGAGAAGCTGGAGTGGATGTACCAGGGTCCTGGGGGCATGGTCAACAGAGAGGAGTACCTGATGGGTCGCCCCGTGGACAAATACGTCTTTGAGAAGACAGAAGACAAGGATGCGGGCTGTTCCAACGAGACCGGGCTTCTCCCAGGCTCCATTTTTGCCAAGTCTGGTGCCAATTCTGTTCTAGACATGGCAAACAAGATCCGTGAGGATCCGCTCTTCATGATAAGGTACCAAACGTGGGGGTGAAAGCAGCAGTAGATCAGACAAAACATTCGTGACAGTAACTTGATAAGAACTATCTTAGTTCTTTACATAAAGAGTGCTGTTAAGTTTGTTCCTCAAAGTTTTATCTGTTTGTTTGTGAGCTGTAGGTTGTAGCTGCCAGTCCTGGCTGCAGAGAGTTCATCAGCCACTTACATGGCTAGCAGGCTTTTGGTTGTGTGTTCTAGGCACAGCAACAAGTCAAATAACGTGTTTGAGTCAGTTTGCTGCTTTTCAGTAGTTTTTCTAACTTGAATTCAACAAAGATTGTCATTCTTCCTTGATTCATCTCTGCAAACTTCTGTCACCCTCCTATGTGTGTGTGAATTGATCTGGTTTGCTCTGAGAGTTCAGCCATTTAACAGCAGTTGTAGCCCAGTGGATGGTAACAACGATTTTAGTTTACCCTTCTAGTTGTGCTCTCGTGGGAAAGAAAAGGAGACTTCACCTTAGTTGGACCCGTTTTGCTGAATGTACCAAATTTGCCTGTTTTTCTGCTTTATATGTTTTTAGAGGTTGTGCTTGAGGTCTTAAAATATACTTTGAGTTGCTTGCAAATACTAGTTTAATTTTCTTTTATTCTGCTTTAGAAAGAGAGAGGAGGAGAAGAAGAGAGAAGTTCTGAATAATCCTGTGAAAATGAAGAAAATCAAAGAACTGGTAGGTTTATCTCCGTACTCCTTCACAGACTCAAAGCACTGAACTGAGGACAGGTTCATAGGTCAAATTAATATTTAGGAGAAGGAGCTGAGTTCCATTTCCTGACTTTCATAGGAAAACAGAATAAATTCAGCTTTGTCTGATCCCCGTATAATAGGACAAGGTTCCTTATCAGTCTGTCAGCAACAATTAATTTCTCGTCCTTTTGGATTCAGTGGTATTTTTCTCTTCCTGCTCCTAAGCTGTGCTTTTTTAGCTAGTGATTTACTTACTTTGCCCTTGCCTTGTGATGCTGACTGCACGAGTGTAGGGACAGTAATTATTGCTAATGAGATAGTGTTTTGCTTTATAGCTGCAAAACAGCTTGGATAAAAAAGAGAAAAAGAAGAAGAAAGAGAAGAAGAAGAAGCACAAGAAACATCGACACCGCAGTTCTAGCAGTGAAAGTACCAGCAGTGATGATGAGCGAAGCAAAGCTAGGTATGTTTTGAGGTGTTGTAATAAAAATATCTCATGTCCTGTTTCAGCTGGCTGTTTTTCTTGTCTTTCTAATCCTCTGCAAGCCTTATCTTTCTAATTAATGCTCTTAATTTGCCTAACCATTTCTCTATTGTTACTTCATTGTTTTTCGCATTGTTATTTTTATGACATTTTAATGTAAAAATATTATGTTATTGAGCTCATCTGCATCAAAACTACTGCTCTGTTTTCTCGTTAGGTCTCAGAAGAAGATGAACAGTTCCTCCTGGAAACCTGCTCCTACCAAAGTCCCAGGATATGGCTTACAGGTAAGGACCCGTGTTTCACACAGCTTTCAGCAGCAAATTCCTGGATTAGGGAAGAGCAAAAGTTGAGGCAGCTTGTTGCAAGAGGCTGCTCCACTAAGTAGAAGGGGATTATGATTTAAGAAAGTTCAATTTGGAGCCATCCAAGCCTTG